ATTCTGTAGCTGATTCTCATCTATACATTGTTGTCTGATTGATGCAGGAACGTTCTACTTATTCTTCTCTATACCGCGATCATGAAATACTGTCATTACAAATGTTCTATAAAGTCGAATAAAATATTCTTTTAGACAAAACCATTCTACAAATTTCTGATTACGGTCTGACCTATATCAGTATATCTTATTTAACCCAATGTTCTCTGTTCAGTCGACGTAAACCACTCGAACTTATGGCAAGAAGTCGTAACACAGAAAACTCGAGAATAAAACAACATCAGGCAGCGTTTGCCCCTTTCGGTTTTCCCACTCACTCCATGTCGTTCAATCCGTTGCAACAGCATTCACGGCTGAACAGAAACGGGGGTTTAACAAAGTAGAAAAAATATTACGTCATCCCATAAGTAATGCAAACCATTACGTAATTATTTGAAATATAAATTTCACGGATATAAGTGGGATCATGTTTCGTATTCTTGAACGATAAGATGCAGGAACACAATTAGTATTTTCTCCACTTTTCTCCCGATTCCTTTATGCAAAATAAAAATTGTCTAAAATTGTCTGTACCGATTGCAAGATACAGGAGCAAAATGAAAATTTCATTGATAATTTTTGGCATGCTTGATTCTGATATTCTTTCGCCTTCTTCGCTATTTTCAATTTCCTCCGATGATCCGCACTTTAGTTATCACGTTCGAGAAAATAGAATAAAATTTGCAATGCTTACGAGGCAGCCGGATATCTCGAACAGAAAATGAGAATAACTTTTAGAAGTGTGGCAAATAAGACACGTGCAGGGATGCAGAAAAACAGGATGCGAGGGACACCGTGGATCGATAAGCGCTTAACCTACAAACTACCGATGTAACGAATTCGCGGCGACGAAGTCCAGGGGCGAGAAAAAGTCGAGGCATTTAACAAATGAAAATGCGCGAAGAAACGGTCGCTTTTTTACGGAAGAATTTTTGCAGGAGCTTCACGATCGGATTTTGTGTCGGAAAGATATGGTTTGTTTTGTTTCCCGGCATAATTGACTCTATATTGATCGAATAATCTTTTCATTTTATTAAAAAGGAAACAATGAACAAGAATTAAAAAATGTAACATGTCTTATTCGATAGATATTAAAATTAAATCAAAGGCAGAGCGATTGATTACCCCACAGTAATAGGCTCCACTGCTGGCAATCATCAATTTTGACTATTTCTCGATGTGAAAATTTATAAATATCGTTGAAAGAGTAACAAATATATCTGAAAATTGCCGATGCAAGGAGTTGCACAGTTTCTCTGTGTAAAAAAATTCCCGAAAGAAATAAAAGCGCGTTCTAAACTAGAGTACACGCTTTCAGTGGGAATAAAAGTGGCCGGTTGTGTCGGTGCACGGCGTTTTGTCGAACACGAGCCGAAGAAAGCCGGGAGTCTGCAATTTGGCGATTATAACCGGGACGCGATTAAAGCCTACGTTGAACGGACACCGGAAATTCGATTAATGCGCACAAAGAGTACCGGCCGACAGTGACGTGAAAATTGCTTATACCTACACAGAATCGCGCTCGCGTGTCAGCCTGTCGCGGCATAAATTATTTGCGGACTTTCGCGAGCTCGCGGACGACGATCGCCATTATCACGGAGGTTGATGAGCTGTAATAACGGTATCGAACTGACCACCCGCGCGACAATGGCGAATTATTTATAGAACTGCCGGTGCGTTGATTCATTGGCAACCGTCTCACGCCGAACAATTTTCCGTGGAAATTCGGGGACACGTAGCCTGCATTGTCACCGGTAGCGTTTGTTAATTGCTGCGTAATCAAGGAAGTCCGGGCCGTTTAAATCCGTAGGTACGTGACTCGCGTGCTCGTTCGCGTACACTCCCGGATAAAAATTGCTGCACCCACGAACTTTATATCGACCTGTTTGTTTCGACGTTGTTCCCTTTGCTAAGCTGATAGAAATAGCTGTTGTACAAAGAATGTATCAAGAATGTATCGGGTCGTTCGGAAAGTTTGTTTCGTTCCACGAAACAATTTCGTTCCGTAAGGATGTTAAGAAAGAGCTCGGTTCAACATTTCGCCGGCAAAGGAACGGGACTTCGACGAGCGTAAGATTTCAAAGCTACCAGAAAAACGTCGAAAAGTTTATCTTCGTTTGCTGCGACCATTCAAAAATCGTCCTTCGTTCGCTCGCGTTAGAACGAAACGATGTACCGAACGGCCCAATAAAATAGCGAAAAGAATATCGCGCACAGCGAAATGTGGAATAGGAAAAAAACGTGCGGAGAAATTTTATGTCGATGCAACTTCTCGTTCCGGGCGCAGTCGAGTTTGCACAGTTGTCAGGCACGCGTGCCATTCAATAGGAATCGCGTAACGTGTCTGTCCATGACTCGCTGTTTCTACTTCTTGGAAATATGGCCGCGGTCTTGTCGGGCAAACTTTCGAAGTCGATTATCCCGGGAACGGAAGTTCGTGTGGAAACAATTGTGTGTTCTCGAGTTGGCGATTCATGGGGAATCGTTCTCTTTATCGTTGCCTACGAAAAATATAAGTGAAACAATACTTCGTCCAAACGCGATAGCAAAAAGTGCTGCATTTAATTTTTCTAATTTGATCCGACGGCGCTGGATCATTGTAGAAACTGATTCGCAGTCTCTCAATTATCGTTCCGCAGTTTCGGCGTGCATCAGTTAAAGATCGTTCCCGTATCCGCAACAAAGTAGAGTATCTTAGATTAAATTAGAGTGCGTAATGAATGCAAACGAAGCCGCGGTGAACGAAGACGTGCCATAAATTAAAGCGGCGATGCTTTTTCCGCAGCAACTAGCATACGATTGTTCAGAAGACAACATTGCAGCCATCGAGAATCTAAGCAGACTTCTACATCCCTAAACGTTTCAAACAGAGAGACAGTTCGGTGCACATAGTGCCGTAATATTTTCTCCGAATTAAGCAGTATATCTTGGTACATGTCAGACGACCCCAAGCATCCGCGAAATGAAAACACTACTGGGCAAGATATATTAATATTAGGCGAAGAGAAAATATTGTCGACTCTTTGCCGAGCTGTTGCCACGGATCAAGTAGAATGACTCTGTATAAGTCGGACCGCCCTGATCCCGCTAATAAAAATATTAGGGGAGAAATAATATTGCTCTATTTGGCTCTAGAATGGCCGAGGGAATGATCCACGAGCTCCGCGGATACAAATTGTTAAAAATGTGGCTTCGTTTCCGAAAAGAAATTTTTACAAATCCTCGGAGATCTGGAAGATACAAAAAATCCTCGATATAAGCGGCCTTGTTCGAAACAGTGCGGTTGTTAACGACGATTCTTGATCAAAATAATGATCGTGTCTACGAAACAGAGACTCGTCTCTTTAAAATTAGCCATGAAATTAGCCATAACCATCGGTGCTTGCAACAGAGTTACTTTGTATTGAAACGATTTCAAAATTATTTGACGTAAGACTGGATTACGTGTCAAATCAGTAACAATAGCTTTCGATCATCTGTTCCGTTTTCTATCTTTTTGTCAACGCTGCGTTCGCTTTTCTCCTCGAAAGCAAAAGAAAGTGGGTGCAGGTGCGAGGTGTGATATTGCACTGAATTTTCTTCAACGTTTAGCTCGCATCGTCCCGAGATCCCCACGAAAGGGCGTGTTCATCGCGAGCACACGATTCCAGCTGCGAATCCCTAATGGCTGAGATAATTATCGGGCCGGTACCGCGGGTGAAAGCGTTGTACTCACGCTGGTAGACCCCTCTCTCAACTCGTTCATTCTTTATTGTCGTCGTCGTGGCAAGAAGTAACCGAGCTAACGATTCAAGAAAATCGTTACGCGGCTTAATGTTGCAACTTCGCCGTCGCCGCCGCATCTCTCCCTATTACGGTGCAAGGACCGACGCCCTAATTCTCCCTGTCACGTGATACCACGGCGGTTGATAGCAGACGTTGCATTTCACCCAAACGAATGAGGTATTTAAATGGCTGTGTAACCGGAGCAAGATTTTCCATGGAAAAATCGTTTAAACACTGATAACTTCGTGTTTGTTCGCACGAGGTCGTGAATTCCCTTTTACGAAGCTATTATTTAACCGTAATTCGATATCTTGAAAAATTGCTCGATTCTCAAGTCATTTATTTAACGAAACACGAATCGAAAAGTACAGATATCTGATACTGAACGCTCAGCCAACGTTGTTGCACATTGCAGTTGTTAATTAATACTTCAGTCGATATTGAACTCTGTGTATTAAAGAATTAATATAATCTAATAAATATTTTTATAATCTAAGAATAAAAGTAATTAATCATTTATAAGAAGCAAAAGGTAATTATTAATAATGAAGAAGTGCTAATTAACGTAGCTGTAAAAATCTAGAAGGAATCCAAAATTCTCGACCATTCTGAACATTCTTTTATAAGTCTTGTTAAATTTCAAGTTGTTAAATTGTCTTTCGGTAATGCCTTTCGACAGCCTCAATGACTGATTTGTGATTGATTAAAGCAATGATGTTATATTAACACTAAACCTACCGCAGTCAAAGTGACCGCTTTCTTATTTTGCAATTCTGCAAAGTTCCGAGACTTTTTCGTGGAAAACGCTTGAATAACTAATATTATTGGAGCAAGTTTTATAACAAAAACTTTACAAATTCTAAATAAATTCGGTCTCCTCACTTTTGTGAAGCACTACATGCCAGTTAGTATTACTGCTCGCTAGGTTTAGTGTTAAGAGGTAAAGAATGATATCCACGAAATCGTATTCGACTTGCAAATCTTCTCCAGCAAGATGTCCCGATACGCTGTTTAACAATAAAAGAACTGAACCTGCACAATCGTTTTCTTCGCGATAAGTTTTGACAGAAGGCAATTAGCTAAAACACACGTCCTATAACATGACAAAACACGTCCAAGTTCGGATAACAGACGCTCTAGCATACATAGAAAGAAGATTTCCTTGGAACAAGAAGGCCGAAAAATTGAACGTACGGTCAGAAATTATAGCCACCCAGACCGCTGTGCAACGATTCGAAAAATCCTGCAAACACCCTCATGTTCCACTCGTTTCCAATCCATCGTTGCTTCGCCCATTCCATCCCAGCACCCCCAAGAAAGCATGGCAAGATCAGCCGGTACTCACCCTTTATGAAATCCACCGCCATCTCTAACCCGTAGGTGTCCTTATCGCAGTCGTCGAGGATGTGCGCGCCAATCTTGACACCTGGCACAATGCCCTCCCCCTCGTTCAGCTTATCCAGGGTGTAAAGCATGGCCTCGAGGGCTTGGACGCCACCCTGTGGCATGACGGGGCCGCAGGTGACGAAGGTCTCCTCCCTCTCGTGCACCATCATCAGTCCACCTAGCACGAGGTCGCCCTCGACGACAGCCTCCTTCTTCACGGGCCAGATGACTGGCTCGTGAGAGTTCAGGTCCATGGATCGGAACTGTCTCCGGCCGTGGCGTATGGGATGATGAGTCTCCGGGTTCTCGAAGCGTAACAGGCTCTGGCGAGCCCTGGACCGTATCCTCTCATCGCTGACTCTGCTACCGTCGCCGCGCAGCTCTATCTTGTGGAAGCTCCTCGCGAGATTCGATCGTTCCAGGAGATCGAAAGCGGTCTCCAGCTCCGGATCATCTCTAGACCGGGCGAGGACCGACGGCCACCTGTCCCGCGGCTCGTAATCGGCCGAGCACACCACGCCGAGCAGTGCGAGCAACAAAAGCTTCATGACTTCATCGTTGGCGCCGTTCGCGCTGCGGTTACCCGGCCACGTTTCCCCGTTACGCCTCGGACGTCCGCGCTGGCTCTAAGCGGTTAGGGTCGGCGGAATGGTCACGCGTCCCGCGGCTCGGTCCTCGACGGATCCGTATCTCGGCCCGTCGCATTGCAGGCTGGCAACGCGATACGTTCGCGCCCACACCGGATGCCAGGCGATCGACGCTACTGTGCGAAAGCAACGGAAATCCGCCGGGCCTCGGTTCTGTTTACGGAACTCCGGCACTCGGCTCTCTGCGGACTGAATATTGATTACGGTCGATAGCGGTTCGACGGCCCGGCTACAGCGATCGTTCGGCCCGCGGGCTGGAATCCGGCTTTCTTTCGCGGGAAGCGCTTTTACCGCTGATGACGGACGTCGATTCGCGCGGCGGCGGTCGTTCGGCAACATCGGCCGGCCAGAGGCAAGATTTCAAGTCCCTTGGACCCGCGAAATCGCTTTACGTCCCGGAAATATACCACCGGAGAAGTTACCTGTGGAAACAGTATGCGGAAGGACGTAACTTCCCGTGGAAAATTAGGGGATGTTCGTGTGCGGTGTGGAATGCACAGGATGCATGTAAATGCAACGGGGAGATTGCATCAAACGTGCGCAGCATTCGAGATTGCTTTCTTAAATTTGGAACGTCGCGATTATCACTGATTTTATAGGGGTCAATGAACGATATTCTTCGTTTCCCCAGGGTTTTTTTCGATTGTTTTGGGTTACGGTTATTCTTTAATGACACAATTTTTTTATTTTTATTAATTTCATTGCCTAAGGATTGGAAGATGATATTCTTTATTTTCTAAAGGTCTTTTAGATTATTTTGTTATGACTGTTCTTTAGTGACACAATTTTTTCCCGTTAATGATCGATGATCATTAAATAATGTTTCTTATTAATTTCATTGCCTAAGGATTGAAAGATGATATTCTTTATTTTCTAAAGGACTTTTAGATTATTTTGTTGTGACTGTTCTTTAGTGACACAATTATTTCCCGTTAATGATCAATGATCATTAAATAATGTTTCTTATTAATTTCATTGCCTAAGGATTGGAAGATGATATTCTTTATTTTCTAAATGTCTTTTAGATTATTTTGTTATAACCGTTCTTTAGGGACACAATTTTTTCCCGTTAACGATCAATGATCATTAAATAATGTTTCTTATCAATTTCATTGTCCAAGGATTGGAAGATGGTATTCTTTATTTTCTAAATGTCTTTTAGATTATTTTGTTATAACCGTTCTTTAGGGACACAATTTTTTCCCGTTAACGATCAATGATCATTAAATAATGTTTCTTATCAATTTCATTGCCTAAGAATTGGAAGATGACATTCTTTATTTTCTAGGGGTCCTTTCGATTATTTTGTTACGATCATTCATCGGTGATGCAGTTCTTCTCATCGTTAATGATCGGTGATCATTGAATTCTGGTTTCCAGTAATTTCATTTCTTAAGGATTGAAAAACGACATTCTGTAATTCCTAGGCGTTTTTTCTCGACTATTCAATCATGATTATTTATTAATAATGCGGTTAAATTGATGTCATTCTTCGTTTATTCGACGATTTCATATTAAAATTGATACATTTTCTAGGTTTAAAATTGTATAGCTTCGTTGTATAATTTCGTTTCCCATTTTTCCGATAAAGCTAAAGAGATCGCGACAGGAAATGTATTAAAATTCATATATATTCTCGTTTCTGAGACTAAGCAAATTTGGCTGGAAAAATTATGTGTGCTCTCCGGTTTTCCTCTCCTCTTGCTTAATACATTCAACGCTGATAGGGTAAGCCTTATACGCTCCGTGCTGTATGGACTTCCATGAAATTTCAGTATGAGTTGAACTTGAAACAGTATTACATCGCAGTTGAGCCTGGATTAAGTGGGTACTGTCCTATTTTTAAGCAATCCCCGATTTAAACTGATTTAAAATGGAACGATGCTTAAAGTTACAACTTCGGCCGAGTTTACTACTTCATAGATCACGTACCAATTAAATTCCTTGTATTTTCGTTGTATTATCGTAATTGATTCCATCTGTATTATTCCAGAGAATTTTTCATCTCCCTAAGAGAGCTTTCCACATTAAATTGAAAAACGAATCCCAGGCGATCACATTTTCCTCTGTGTTAAAATTATAATATTATATATTCTACACATTACTTCATTAATTATGTAGCGGGACACCTAATTAATAACTTCCGCTCAATTAACGCTCGTGTAGTTAATCAGACATGTGAATAACGTATCATTAAAAGTTGTCTACGTTACCGTCACAGAATTGCGAAACTGTTTTGCTTTTGCATCGTTTGGATAATTAGCAACTCTCACCGTTTTACATTGTTAATGAAAATAATGGTTTATGACTTTTAGTGACTCACGCATTTCGTCACATACATTTCAAAATTGAAAACAATGTGTAACAGCTCAGAAACAGTTATTTAAATATTTAACGCGTTCGCTATCAGCATCACTCGCGTACATAGTTATATTTTTTGTAATTATCGTATTAAATACATCGTATCCTCTTCTAAAATATGATCAGAATGTCATCAAAGAGAGGCTACGAATTCTCTAAATATCATGCCGCGTGTTACAATTTTTCGTAAAATACGAAATCGTAGTGTACACATATGTGTGACGCGAAAGCTTTCATCATATTTTCACGATTTTGTAAGTAGAACACAGACTCGCAATTTTGTGCCAGAGCATTGCAACGAAAGCGCGCCAGAAGTTGCTAGAATTTCCCGTGGGTCGCTTAAAAAAATTCCATAAACAGACCAGATGTCTAAGTGCCAATTGCCAAGTGTTTAAGTAATGGGCGGGATTACAAAGCATTGCGAACGGTAAAATAACCGGAAGGCCAACGGAACTCAGATAATCGGTCGGATGCTTTATCGCGAAACCGACACCGTTAATTCCCGGTGGTCCGTTCGTTCTGTGTAATCAACGTCATTCAATGCGCTCTCGAACAAGAACTCGGTTGACAATCGAAACTCACCGATCGGCCGCTAGCGCCGCGAAAAATTTGGCTGATTACCTGAATTGCAAATACCGCGACGTGTACTCTGCGTTTGTTATTTGACACTTGACGGTTTCTGCGGGAGTGACTGTTGTTCCAAAGGTTTGTCCGAAATTTCCGTGCAGAGACAGCTAGTTTGCACTAATGCCTCTGCAACGGATCAAATTTGTTAAATAACGTTGTACCAATCAATGGGATACAAACAATGAATTAGAGACTCGTGATAGCGTTACGAAATGAAGGAAAACATTTCTGCGGCTTCCGTTGGATGTTTTCTAGATTCATTACAGTTAGATTATAGTTATCCTATTTATAAATTATAGTTATCCTATATTATAGATTATAGTTATTATAGTATTCATTATAGTTATTCGATTGACTTAAATATTCTTTCTCGAGTAGATAATTTAATGCTGATATCAGAGAGGATTTTTTCATCTCAATTTTGATTACGTGGTCAAATAGTGGATTATTAAATATGTCAGAGGACTCTTTGTACTGTCTGTATTTGTCTTTCTCTGATTATGTGATTTCGTCATTGTTCGTGGACGAGGAATTTACAAGAGCAAATGAAAGAGCCTGTTCATTCCATGACAAGAATTTAATCTTATACAATGAATTAAAATCGCATAAAAATACTGCACAATGCACAGTCGACTTCCGTTTAACACGAATTCATAAAACGTTCCGAAAATTTTGCGATCACCATTCTCATCCAGCGTAAATTTTCGTAAAACGCATTTTATAATAAAATCCAAATTTAGAACGTAGCTGCGAGCGATTTAGGCAGTAATTAACGATCAATGCGAAAATGATGTCTTCCCGGTTGCATGCAACTAATTATAATTACGTAATGAATTTATGAAATGATTTCGCGCATTGAATATCTGTGAAATGCGACGTTTCATCCATTCACGATATTAACATTATTCACGATAATAATGAGAAATTTTCGTGCAGCATGATTTATTACAATACTAAACCGCATCGCGTTATACCGGGGCTTACCGTAGACTCGATTCAGTGTATAAGCCGTAATAAATTATTCAGCGAATTCTTATGTCTTCGGACGAATGCCAGTCACGAAGCGCATTGCAAAATGCAGGGCGTCTCTACGGATAATGAACCAATCAATCTCGAAACCAGACAATTCGCCCATGTTTAAATATCCACGACGGATTCCGGGGACGATAACGCGTACCGAGCGAGCAATACCGCGATACCTTTATCCGTCGCTCGGCGAGATCAAAGCGCGTCGATTACAATGGGCACGGAAGCGGTGCGAACCTATCGGAATTCTGTGATTGGATAATCTCGGGGCTGCCTTCGGCTGAACTTCGGGACGCGTCGGCCAGCTGGTACCGGGACGGCGTCGGAAGTTTAAATTGCTTGCGATTCAGCTTGGCGGGTCGCGTCGATAACGGGCCAGCCGCGAGCTAATTAAAAACTTGCGAGTCCTCGGCGCGTGTATTCGCGCGTTCGCCGCGGAATCTCGACAGAAACACGGTGTTCATCGGCGTGTTTCGTTGCTCGTTGCGCACCGCGGCGATTTGTTACGTGCTGTAACCTGTTGCGCTCCAGAACCTCTCTCTTTCTCTCTTTCTCTCTCTCCCTCTCTCTCTCTCTCTGGATCTCTCCCTTTCTCTCTCGCGAGATCCTCTACGTCGACACGACGCACTGCCCGCGCCAAATTGCTCGCGTATTTTTGGATGGCGGAGCGAATATATTTTTTGTTTGTTTGAAATCCGACAAGCGTGACCTGACACCATAATCAGCACCGCAACGATTCGATCCGCCGTGTTACCTGTTGCGTTTCGCCACGGAGAAACTACGATTCTGTTGATGCCGGGAGTTCGCGGATCGATCACTGCTACGTGATTACTTTGTTGTCGGGACTGAATCTCTACGTGGCGCCATGCGTCAGTTCGGGGAGCTACGGTCGAAGTTCCGTTGCCCAGTGAAAGAAGACAGACCTGGGTGAAGGTATACTGCTCAAAGATATTATAGAATAGAGAAATTTCGAATGGAAATTGGCCAACGTTGACTTACGATAATTCCCTGAAAAATCATCGTGGTATAATGGCTTTTATTTCAGATTGAAGCATGAAACCTCTACTTTATGATAACGTTTTTGGATTTTAAGTTCGATGGACTCTCGCCACCGTGACCCTTTAACCCTTTGCACTCGAGTGGTGACTCCGAGGCACCAGTAAAATTCTTATGTCACGTTCTAAGATCATTTTTATATTATCGAAGTTTAGATTTTTAATATTATTAAAAGTATAAACTGTGTTGCACGAATCAGGAGACGCAATTTCGTGTGCATAAAATGCACTTTGTCGTAGAAAATGGAAATACTGTAAGTCAGAAAAATTATTTTGGATTGACTCTTAAAATGGCTTCGAGTGCAAAGGGTTAAATGTGAGGTAGTAGAATAGTATGGCTGGTTAAACGAAAGTCGAATAGAATTTCGTACGAATCCATAATTAATTAAAACTGTATTTCGTCTTTTAATAATGTTGACAAATTGAGCAATCAAATGATTCTTTTTTACATTTTACGTTTTAGCCGGCCAGTGAAAATGAGTAGCATTTGAGTGATGAATGTTTTCGCGAAAGTGTGGAGTCGAGTAGAATTGGTCTTTTAGGTCAGACAATGTTTCAATTAAGCCTTGACAGTATTGTGTTGTATACGGTTGCAATATTGCGGAACTGTGACTAGTATCACGTGGAAGATCTATTTCCTTGCTTAACCCTTTTGCTGCGAACAGCGCCTTTTGGCGGTCGGCTATAGACACTTTCTCTCAGCGAACAGCGCCTTCTGGCGCTCGATTATTAAATTTTGTTATAATATATTATATTAATTGTCTATATTATTTAAGATTATTAAAAATTACTAAAATTGTTATTATCATTATTATTACTATTATTGTTTGGCTGCCGTGGCGGCCAGTCGCCTCAAAGAAAAGACCAGCAAAATCGGTTTCACACACCGTCTTACGAGCGTCGCGCGTATCGTGTCGTTCGTACAGACAATCTACTATCGCGTCGGCTGCTGAGAGAGTAATTCATTTTTAGGCGATCCGCAGCGAAAGGGTTAAAGAATAGAAGAGGATCAGTTGTTTCTAAATAGAATTAGACTTTTTGATCAGACCAATTTGTAAGGCAGTATGTACATTGTGAAACTAATGTGCACTATTCCGTGTCAATTCTAACTGATAGAATGTAATACTTGTTCAGTAGTATTTTTAAGGAAAGTGTTGACGTCGAAGAAGAAGAATATGTGTAGTCAGCCAATGATATAATCTAACCAGGATAATAGTAACAGAGATCTTTGTTTGATTTTGCTGATTTTTGAAAAATTGATACTTGGAAAGTTAAAGACTATATGTCACGAGCGAAGCAGTAAAGCAGAAAAGTTCTGCATTGATCGAACTGTCTTCTACACAATGAGTAGACTATATGGTTATCCGTGATTCGTGGGAAGTTTGTGCACTCGAGTGCATAGGTTCTTGCATTACACTGAAGTAAATTAATCCTGCACCGGTCGGACGAGTGTCACAAAATGCAATCTTTTGTTTCCATTGATTAACGACTTGGGACTTCCAACTGGGTAATGTAACTGAAGATCAATGCGCAGGTTTCTACCATCAGAAGACTCATTAAGTAGAATATTCTTGATTCAGGAAGTGCCTAGAATACGCGGTAGACATTTCTGGTTTAACTGCTCGGAAGGGTGTTCGAATTTCCAATCCATTCAAGTGTAGGAACGAGACTATATCGATCCTTCTTAATGGAGTAGTAATTACGTAGAAAGTGGTTGCATTAATCAGACAGTGTCAGCACTATTCACACGATCTCGCTCGAAATTAATTACTTCGGTTTTTTTTTTATTTCGTTGTTTAAACTGCAACGCTTCATCGGAATAGTTTAAATGAGGTCAGACTATTCAGGGGATACGCATAGTTGTGTGATCAGATCGTTCGGTGGTGAAATTGAATTTAATAATTGCCTATAAAAATTGAATACCTTTAGCGTTTGTAAGTAGCTTGTGCTTAAATTGATCGGACGCATCGAAAAATATATGTTCGTGGTATCAACGTGAACGAGAACTTTTTCAGAAAATTATTATACGTCTCTCAACATCCGAGAGACTCTTTTGTCTCTTTAGTTCTTGTATTTTTAAATTTTTCATTTCCAGCAGCACTTCTCTATTCACAAGTTTCAGCCGGACTGTCAAATGGTAATTTCAAGAATGCAACATAAAATATTGAACATTTACAGCGAATTGGTTGCTAGAAATGTTGAAAATTAAGCGTTGAAAATTTTCAGTAGAATTGATTAAGTTTGATTGAATTTATCACTGAATAATAATTATCGAGTTTCGAGGACTCGTAATTTGTTGTTCACTTGAGATTATCAAACGAAAGCTTTTGAACATTGAGAGCAGTGATTTAAATTGAAAGGGAAATACGTAATTGACATTTAGAGATTGAAAAGGGCTGGGCAGATAGCATCGGTGCGTAGGTACTGTGGTCATTGATGATGTTCACTTCAACCACAAAGCACCATTCAGTCAGGTATCCCCATTAAATTCTGCCTTTTGGTTTTGGTATGTACGCGCAACATATGTAGCTCGCAGTTACCGGGCTCGAAATACATGGGGCAATTTTAACGTAAAATCTATATTTTCTAATAAATTGTCAAGAAATAATTGCTTGAACGTCAATTGTGAAGAATGGATACATCAAGTGAGAATGATCGAAATTAAAGTGAGTCATTCGATTCACAATCAAACGATACATGCTTTTACATTCTATGGCACTTGGATGTCACACAAAGGCAGAACTGCTATCTGATCGATCATGTTTGATCGTTGACTAAGATATCCTTGCAACCATCGGACGTTACTAAATTGGCGTAGAATGGCCTCCTACAGTGGTCAGATCTTGTTCTACTGGGATTGATTATACGCGTTAATTAAGTAGAATGGGTTTGCAGCAGACATCCTGTCCCAGCTGTTGCTCAGTAGCTTGTAGACGGCGATTCAACACTGACGTAATGTCGGTGACAGATAGATCAAGTCTGGTTGCCAATAGCACTAAAGTAGAATATCTTTGTCTCGATCGGAGAGTGCAAATACCGTTACAAGAAAACATGCAAAATAAAATAACGTTGATCGTAAGATGTAGTTCTTTATGTAAAGTAAACATTGTCTGTATCAATTTCGAAGAACAGAAATTAAATGAAAATATATTTTTTCGTTAAATCATTTTAATAACTCGTAAATAGCGTGGTAATATATATAAATTCTTTTGACGTTTGCACGCTTTTGTACCCGGCTAATCATTTTTAACATAAATGCATAAAATCTACGGTCTATTCATCAAAAAATATTCACAATCACAAGTAAATCCAAACCTTTAAAAATTGCAAATAAAAGATTAAACTAATCATCGAACTAAGCACGCCATTGAAAATTAATGTCCAATTGAGTTGTGCAGTGAAACAAGAACAATAAAACAAATAAACAAAATTTTAGTGTTTCTGAAACATTGAACGTAAAGTAGTATACTCCAGCCTTCGTCAGACCAGTTTTTACATCGATTATCATTCTTCCATTGATGGATGGAATGTTTAATATTATTTCACGATTATGCTGCGTACACTGTAACGAAGTTTTAAATGTATTACAGTAGAGATTCTCTTATCGCAACATTTATTTTCACAATATTTTGGTATCCGAACGTTCCACGACATAATGATTGTATTATTTCGATACATTATCGCCTAGTTGAATGAAATTTTTAGATAATAAAATATTTTGGTGTCATTATTACAAAAATAAACCTTCGGATAAGAGAGCACCTACTGTATCATCGAATGAATTGTTACATAATATTACATTGTGAATTATTTAAATTTTCGTTTCACAATTTTCAAAATACAGGAAGATCAACGTTGAAAATCAACTTTAAGATAAACATTAGAGTCAGAGTTGCACGAGAACACGCTTTGGTTCAAACTGGTATCGATTTTTAATTAAAGCGTCCGGCAAATTTTAGTCTTCGTCTATCGCGTACTGGTTCCATATATTTGATAAGTGTTGTACCTTTAATCATACGTTGTCAAATTACAAATTATTGCAAGACCTATTAAGCGTTCTCCGACAAATTCTTGTGACCCGATGCACGATAAAAACCGCGAATCGCTGTTAAATACGGGTTCGCCGACGATTACGCCCTTAACGAGCCTTGTTGCCAAGCGTCCCTGCACTCCACCTGTCATGCATAACGGGCGGTCGATTTTTCGAAAGGCCATCTCGTAAATGTTAATTACCGCGCGACAATATCGGAACCACGTTCTCGACAAGTATATCAGCCAATTAAATAGTTCATTAACAAATTTCACCGGCGGGCTCTCGCACGACCGAGTAACCTTTTCAGACGGAAAATAACAGCTTTCCATACCTTATCGCTCTCATTACAGACATTAGCCCGATTACGCTTTTGCGAGGTATCAGCCCGAGATCAGTCGGTCTCAGAGCCGAATAAATTCGAAGAAATTCACGGCGGCATTCGAGCGAAGCGAATTCCGGGGACGCATTACGCCTGTCAAGTCCGTGACGTGCATTCCATGAGCAATCTCACAAAGTGGTTTTCACGTTGTGTCGCCTGTCGGGCGTAATCCCGCTCGAAATTATACCGTCGTCCGCCTCGATCCGAGCCCTTTATCCCGGGCAGAGCACGTGATATGCTTCCCCGAATGCCGGAAAGCCCTGAACCGAACGATCGCACTGTACAAGGAGCAATGATCGACAATGCTTACGACACTCCTTTACCCCGAGCAATTCTAAACGACGTCCGACGAAATACAACCGCGAACGTTCGGGCACCGTAAGACCCTTCGGATTTTCCGTCCACCTGTTTGATTCTTCCTATACATTTCTTCCGGCACAGTTAGTCGAGACACGCGAAACTCGACCCCGACTCGTCTGCCAAGCTATTCGAGAGTCACCGAACCGTTGGCAGCCGATCACATTTTATCCAACGTCTGAACGTGGCCGATGCGCGATATCAGATTTTTTCATCGAATTACTCGAGATATATCGAAGAGCGCCGCACAGGGTTCGACAGAGGAAGGTTCGTAGTTTCTACGATTTTAATCTCGCCGCGATCGGCGCTGATTTTCTGTCATGACTTCGCGCCCGTTTCCGGTCATCGTGTTCGCGAACCGCTCGAACGGGAGCACGCGCCCGCCTCTGTGCCGTGGCAGCCACTGACTGGCTCTGCGACTGCATCAACACTACCCTCCTGAAACGTATCAACCACCACCCTTCCCCGCTGCCACCTCCAACCCCTACCGTTCTTTCCCTACTACCCTACCTTCCTACACTTTCGTCCACTCTCCCGCTGTTTCGCGCCTCCTATCCCTTCGCGCCGCCCTTTCTCTTCGCCTCGCCGACCACGCGTCCCGTTTCCGCAAAACGAGCCAGCGACAGTTTAGATCGTCGATCATAATTCCACGAACGGGACGCAACCACCGTCGTCGCGGCGCCACGCGGCTACGACGAGGATTTTCTTGATTGTTTCTCGCCGCGGCGAGTCGACGGGATCACGATCCCGCCCCCGTTTCGCGTGTTGTTACTTTGATAAATGATCTAATGGACGATCTCGCGGCGGTCTGGACAGTAAGCTGGATTAACAGTGCAGAATCTGTTGGAAGCTGGTTTCTTAGGAAGCCGCGAAGAGGATCCCATTTTTGTTGCCATGGGATTAAGCGAGGTGTTTGCCGTTTGGTGTGCAAAGATTATTGGGACCGCAGTGGAGCGCGCAATGTTTTTTGAAGTAGGTAGGAACGGTAATTTGTTGTTCTCGTGGAAATTTCGTTTACACCTGATTAGACTTAGATTTTAGACTTAGGTGTAGAATATTAAATACAAGGTTTTCAACTGGCTATGGAAAATGCATTTTTAATTTTTCCTGACAGCTGTTGGAGACATTGGTTTCTCATTTTACTAACTTAGTATTATATGTTCTTTTAGTGGCAATTTTATTTAAACCTGATGTGTGCAGGGTAAAAAGGAGAAATTTATATCAATTGTTCAACCGTGAACAAAAATGGGCATTTTCAATCTTTTTCTAGATAGCAATGACTTTATAGAACCTGTTACACACTGAAGTATTAACCTAATTTAATACTCGTCCGTCCTTTGTTTCGCTAATTGAATTTGTTCATTGGTGTCAAATTGACAGTTGACATTAGATAGTAATGACATAGTTGACATTACAAATCTTAATAAGATAAAATGGAATAAGTTTGAGATAAAATGAGATTATTACCATGGCTCGTAACTAATTAAACGCGAACTCTATAACATACTATTTATGTTTGAAGAGAAGAGGAAAAATAAGTATGTACGTTTAAATATTACAATATTGCTTGAATGACGTCAGCATTATACGCACATTTTCTGCACTTGTGATTGCACAAGTCAATGAAATTGTGGACAATATCTTAGATTTGCCAAACGGAATCCTGTAATGACAATGTTTAATTAATCACTCTCTCGATACTATGATATCAACGTCGATATCTCAATTCAGAATTGAATAAACAAAATAGAAGTTAATTAACTTATATGTATATATATATATATATATATATATATATATATATATATATATATAAATATAATGAAATAAATTATTATGTAACTTAATATTTTATGATTGCAACAGTGTCATCATCAACTGTATGTTATCCTCGGTGATCGTGAAGTACATAAATTTACAGTCGCTTTCAGTAGACTAGAGCATCATCGAACAATTAACGAAGAGCACTAAAGTCGACAGTTAAGCCGGCGGTACTGGATCATATCATATTCAGTAGAATATTCCAGTGCTAGTCAGACAGCGGCGAGGTTAATCTAGGAACAAACGTAACGGTCCATTCGGCGGACTGTTGCCGCACGTGTCAAGTTCCAAACATGAAACTGAGATTATTACGTTCAATAGTATATTCCTGTAATAGTCTGACACCAGAGACTATTACCATCGATTTAGTCCAGTATTATCTTTCCTCGTGTGTATTTAGAAGATCGATCTAATATCCAGGATCGTATTGAATTAATCTGTCCAGTGAAAATATCTTGCGACGATCAGACACCGTTTACTTTCAATATTAAGGATGGGAGGGCAGGATATTATCTTGAGATATCGGGGCAAATGTTTGCTACAGAAACGCTAGTAGAACTTTCCGTAGAATGAAAATTAACTTCAGGTAATATTTCGATCATAAGCGGTCGTTCAAATATATTAATCAGACGTCAGTACTTTCTGATATTAACGCTGGTTTTACGAAACACTGAAAACAACTGTTTTGTCTTGCATGATTTGAGTATCGATAATATATTTATTCACATTTTTAGCGATTTTCGACATAATGTGTGCTCGTAGAAACGAACTTATTGAATTAATTCTTCACAAATGTATGTCTCGCTGAACGTAAATGAAAAACATTGAATCTATTGTTGTAACGAATCCAGTAAATCTTGTGTTTAGAGAATTATAGAAAAGGTATTTCAAGACATGGTTGGATAACAATTTTACGTAGAAGTAAGTAGAGTTAATTATGATTGCGAGGGAACGTCCGTGCGAACGTGGTCGACTATTCGCGCTGCTTTCTCCCAGCGAATTTGTCTCGCAGCTGTAGTTATTTCCCCAGTTTCTCCAGTCCTCATTCATTCCTTACAAAGCCGAGTCCCGCGCGAATATCTGCCGGACATTTAATTGTCGTTCCCTCTTGTCCGAGGAGGCGTTGCGAATAAAAATGCCGCGTCTCGCTCGTGAATCTCCCGCAGCTCTTTCGAAAGCAACGAAAGGACAATCAAGATGGACGCGTGACGGCGAGAAATGAAAACGGCGGAAAGATAATTGCTCTCCTCGTGAATTCATCGGCCTTGCGGTGAAACTGTAAGCAACTTTCTCGATTATCTAGCGACCGTCGAAAACACAATTGGCGGTTAGTTTCCTGTTGACAAAGCGTGCCAGTCTGAAGCGATCCCGCAGTTGGTGTTGGTAAAGTATTATTACTGCTGCGAATGGGACGCAACATCATATTCGGTCAAAACTCTACCGTCGTTGGCAGAACAGAGACATGAAATGAAAATTGTATAAGTTTCATGTCTATTTCTTCGATGTATAACAGATTCATCAAATGTGAACGCATCAAATTCAACTAGAGGTAAACGAGAACAGCTGTGGGCGTTGTTTCGAGTAGAACGGGAGCGCAATGGTCAGACAATGTTCAAGAATGAAGTTCAGATAGAGAATCTTTTTAAAAAAAAAATTTATTATCCCAGCAAGTTATTTATTATCCCAAATAATTTGCTTTATAATTTCGGTCACAATTTTGCTCACGCGATAACGTATTTTGTTATTAACAACTTATTTCATAGTATTCGTAGGTATATGTTTATCTTATCTAAATACATATGTATTTCTAGCCTAGTGAATCAATTGATTTGTGCTCTAATGCTTCGGTTCGCCATTGAGTAATCAATCTTACCGTGTATTGACAAATGTTAATTGACAACTGCAATAAACGGTGTCATGCTACGTCTATGCCGGGGCAGGAGACGGCGCCGTGAATAGAGCCAAGGAACAGAGCCACGTGAAAGGGAGCCTGAGACATACCGGAGCCGCAATACAGATTGGATGGGAGATTGGATAATTAGAAAGCCAACGCGAGATACTAATAATTGAAGCAGCCGTTACGCAATCAAACGATTCCCACTTATTTCATTTGAGACACCGAACAGTCCCGTGGAACTTTGAGAACAGAAGGAGTCGGATGCGCCAACAGCCGCTAGGCATCCAATTATAGCAACGGATCGTGCAGCGTCGCGGAATTGCTGCGAAATCTAAGAGCGAAACTATACGGCGAAGCTTCGGGATCGCCTCTAAGCGTTTCCGAGCGGAGTTTCCGATTTATCTAATGAAACTTCTTGCTCAAACAGTCCCCTTCATCCCCTCCACCCCCACGCCCACCTGTTCGTATTAGAGCCGAATTTACTCCGCGCGTCTTTATTGCCTCGCCTACGTCCTGCTCTCGAGCCTTGATTTCGGAGGCGAATGTATTTTTCGAAACGGTTGCCTGGCGCCCGTGCACCGAGAAACTCCGATTTCTCCTTTAGCGTATCGAGTGCTCGTTCTTTGCATCCGACAGGGAGGAGTTCCGTATCGATTCCCGGTTAATCGACATGTATTCCGGCCGTCAATTCATTTCTCCCGGGGCAAATAGAAATTTGCTCAGTTGCAGATGTCTAGCAATTCTACGGAAAGTTGCCTGGGCCTCGGGGATTTTCTGATCGATGTGATGCCTCCGCGTGATTCTGTGGTCCCAGTCGAGGTAGAATGATCGTTTGTTCGTAGGGGCTGGGCTCAGTCGCACGCAATGCACAGTAGCGGACGGAGGATTAATTTAATTTAATTTATTTGGCACCAACGGGTCAGATGCCCTTTTAATCTTTTTACACAAAATTCAATAAGTAATATTAAAGTAATAATATGATAATATAATAATATAATAATATAATAATATAATAATATAATAATATAATAATATAATAATATAATAATATAATAATATAACAATATAACAATATAACAATATAACAATATAACAATATAACAATATAACAATATAACAATATAA